CACACACACCCACACACACACCAACGGGGTTATTCCCAGCACATACAGCAACGGGGTTATTCCTAACTGGAATGGGCTCCAGGGCCACAGGGCCCCAGCACCTCCTCCCAGGGCACTGTCTGTGCAGGGAGTGACCCCTGGCTGCTCCGAGGTGAGCATCAGCTCAATGGGAACTAAAGGAGCTGAGTGATTCCACCTCTCCAGCAATATCACATCAACACTTTGGCACTGAAACAGCTCCATGTTCCAATCCTCAGACAAACAGCACAGAACACGAATCTGCAGCCTCCTTTTACCCCAGAGTACCAAATTATTGGCGTTTTTAACTAGGAACTCTTCAAGCACACAGCACTGGGGTGGTCACAGAGGAGCCACACTTGAAATCCATTTACTGAGACTCATGGAATGGTTTCAGCTGGAATGGATGTTGCAGCCTCAGGAACTGTTTTCATAAGGAAACAACACTTTTGGCTGTGACACCTTCAATGTTGACCTTAAAGTAGAGAAGCTCAGAGTTTGCTTCATCCCAATACATTACCCATGTGCACATTTAGCAATACCACTGCTCTGGATTTTTTCAGAGCATTGGAGACTTTAGTGCTCTCTAGAACTAAATCACTGCAAATGATTCTGATCAAACGTGAAAGTGCTGCATGGAAATCACCCCCATTCTTTGTATGCCCCCCATTCTCAGTAACCAAGCCTGGACTTTCCTTCCCTGTTGGTTTCAAACTGTATTAATTAGGGAAAAAGTTATCCCATGAAGCAGCTCAGAGTTAATCTGATGCTTCAGACTCCAGGGTCGGAGGTTTTAGCAGGAGGAACCCCTGTTTGGAGATGTGCATAAAACATGAAACCCCCTTTTCCAAGGCCACCACCACGGGTGCCAAGGATCAATATCCGACCTGCCCAGGACAACCCAGCCCATCCAGGATTCTGTCTATACTTAACCCATGCCTCATGGAGCCCCAGAGAGGAGAGTGCCCCAGCTTCAGGCTCCAATTCCCAGGTTCCACCAAGCAACACCTCGCTGAGGGTTGGTCTCTCACCTGTGGAGTCGGCCCTGTCCGAATGGGACATGGCAGAGCCCAGGGGCCACGGGCTGAGCTGGTGGTGCAGGAAGCTGCGGGTTGGAGAGGCGAGGCTGCCGGAGTGGAAATGGTGGTGAGGGGGGTCGAGGGAATGGATGGGATGAGCACTAATCACAGCTGTGGATGAACACAAGACAGAGAAACACTTAACACACACACACACAGGACAGGCTGGGGACTCTCATCCCTGCTCCCTTCTCCAGCAGGGAGCCACACCCTCGGCTGATTTACAACCCAGCTTAAACCCCTGCGTTATCACACCTCAAAGATGCTTAGGACAAAAATAATCACCCAATTACAGCTCCAAAAACTGTGCCACCAGCTCTTAATGCACTGCTTGATTCCAAGGAAAAGTTCAGAAGAAGAATAAAGAGAACACAGATCTGTTATCCCTATACAGTATGGCGATAAAGAGGAAATGAGGTGTGTTAAATAATAAACAGCCCTTTGCTTCCAAATATCCTTCCAGAATTTCTATATTCCAGGGGCAAAAAAGGAAGTCACTAGGTACATACCATTACTGTAAATTAAACTAAAATGGCACAGTGAATTAGCATAATTCAGTACTTAGGATGTAATTAATAAACAGTCTGAATGCTCCAGTGGGTGAAGAAAGCCATGGAAGGTTGTGCAGGCCCAGAGTTGGACACATGGAATGGTCCTGCTGGGGCTCACTGAGAAATGGCCTCACGTGCCAGGGTGAGCTCCCTGTGAAGCTCCTGCCAGAAGGGCACCTGCAGACCCCACACTGATGTTTCCACTCGCATAAAGCAGAGCCTGCAGCTGGGGCCCTCAGAGCTTTCACAAAGAGGATGGAGAGTCCAAGGCTCAAAGCCAAGCTCCAGCCCGAGGCACCAGCAGGGCCTGGGCCTGGTCTGTGCCCCCCAGGCAAGGCAGGAGCTGACAGAGGGGGAAGCAGCCAGGCTTGTCCAGAGCCTGACATGGGATAGGCACCTGTCACACACCCATGTTTGACACAGACCAGCTCCTAAGGAGTTTAGTGTAAAACTGCATCCTCTGCTCCCTCCTCACACAGGGAGAGCTGGGAGACAACAAGGAGATCAGACTGCTTAGTGTAAAACCATGAAACCAGATGCTACTCTTGGAAAAAGGTCGTAGAACAAGAAAATTCACAAACCGAGCAATCAGGTCATCAGGACACTTGAAAAAGTAGGTAGAGATCAAGAACATCAAGTCCTCAGTTCAGTTTTTAATTAAAGCAAAAAGAAAGTGGAAATTCTGAAATAATTCCACAAAACAGAGGGGTTGTGGCAGCAGTCAGCTGGCTACAAGTGGAACATCATCACAGAGATCAGGGAAGTCTAAAGCTCAGCCTGAGTGAGCTTGGTGTGATTCTGCTTCCCAGTTCTGCCCCTGCACAGCAACTCCTGAGCTTCTCACTGGTGTCCTCACACAGAGTTTCAGTCTGGCTGTTCAGAAGTTCAGCCACCTTGGAGTCATTTGAAAACTCCAGATATATTGTTTAATTCCTAAAATATTTCTTCATAATGGTAATTTTGGTATCAGAGAAGGATCCCAGGGCAAAGAGGTCTCAAGGAGCTCAGAGTAAAGTCAGAGAAGGCTCTGAGAGCAGCAACTGCAGAGACAAAGAGCATGCTGACTGCTTGGACTGGGCAAACCAACAGTGGGGAGAACCTGACAAAGATTCCAGCACTCTCCAGCTCCTATGGAACAGCTGGACACTGGCAGAGTTCCAATGGAATGACTACAAGAAGCAGCCAGGCCCACAGGCTGTCCCTGGAGAGCCCCAGACTGGGACAGACAGATCTGGACACGCTCCTGCCCTCACCCCAGTACAGACACTCCCAGTCCTTTCTAATGAGGCCTCGCTGCCCACACCAGGAGGGGCTCAGGAGCCTCCTCTGAGCTGTTCCTGCTGCCCAGGATGGGATTTCCTGGGAGCAGGGAGTGGCTCCAGCAGGAATGGGGGTGTTCACTTACGCTGAGGCGGCTGAGAATCAAAAGGCATCATCATCTTGGGCCTCATGCCCCTCCTTCCCGCCAGGGTGGACATGCTGTCCTCGGACTCGTGTCCTGAGGGGAGACAGTGACATTACTCCTCTGCAGCCTGGCTCCTGGAACCACGGCAGCATTCCAACACTCCTCCCTTCATTCCTGTTCCCAGGTAAGTCTTGGAGTCACCAGTGATAGAAACAGCCCTTTCCCCCTTCGCTGGAAGGTGGGGTGAAGACAGTGAGGGTGAGGATTTTTGGGAACTGGAGAAGCTCTCCAGGCCCCAGTGCAAACTTCTGGCAGTGGTTCAGCTCTGGGCTGGAAGGTCAGAAACAACTTCAGTGGTTTAATAAGAAGTGAGATGATCTTCCCATTACTAGTCAGTATTTACCAAGAGAAAGTAATGATATAATTCCTGGTCACCAAAACATGTGATCCACCCGTTTCAGAGTCTTAGAAACCAGGAACAAACCAAATTCACTACTTGGAAAACAGGAACAGAAAAGAGTAACTTAATCATCTGTCAATCAAGTGATTTCACCAGGCACAGTAAAATGCATTTCACTCCTCATGGCCCCTCACCTCTGTAGGAATTCCGCCTTTGATGGATATTGCCATCCATGGAATTGTCCACCGGGGTGATGTCCTGCGAGTTGCGAGGGATGGGGGTGTCTGTCATGATGGGATTAGGATCTGGGGATTTATCAATGGGTTTGAGCTCCAGCCTCTCGTGGTGGATCCAAAGGTCTGGAGGTTTGACATCTTTGGAGTTCCCTTTGTACTTGTGGGAGCCATTCACGGATTTGCAGGCAGCTCGTTTCCTGGGGAGGAAAGCAAAGGAGATGTTCTTCACTTCTTGGAAAAGGCAACTTTTCCCTGGGATTTCCCTCAGGTCTTGCATCCAGCTGGGCACAAGTTTCCTACTGGGCAGGGAGCTTTGAATCTTGCAAACAAACCCCACTGACACCTCAAAGCACACCCTGAACTCCAGTGCCATGGAATTTGTCTCCAATGGTATCCCATATGCAGCCCTGGCTCTGCAGCCCAGCCTTACTTAACAAGAATTAAGTTTGCAGGAATTCTGGTTATTGAGAGAATATTCCAGTGCTGTGCCCATATCCTGGGCTCACCAAGCTCCAGCAGCAGCTGGAGAAGGAGGTGCAGACAGTCAGTTAGCCCAAGAGGATGGGAACACAGGATTAATGACAGGAACATCCCTTCCAGCCCCGCTCAGGCTGGACACATCCCACTAGGGAGGTTCCCATTGTGCTGAGCAGCAGCAGCAAACCATGGTGAAGCAGAGATTTGGGATGGCAGAATTTTGGGAAAGCAAAATGTAGGTTTCAGCACTCTCTCCACACTGATTCCTCACTTTGGCCCATGGCAAAGCTGGAGGAGGGGTCCCTTTGGGAGCAGAGCTCCTGGGAATGGCTCAGACATTGGTAAATGTCACCAACAGAGCCTCTGGCAGGGGCTCCCATTGGAGATGATGAATGACAGGGATCAGGTTATTCCCTGGCTGAGGGCACTCAGAAATTGAGATTTCACAGGGTTATTTCTGCCCTGAAAATCGAACACATCCCCTGGCACTGGGGATGCTCTTTGCTGCTCCTTGCTGCTCTCTCCCAAGCACAGCCCCAGCTGCCAGGTGTGCCAGGGCCAGCTCCTCCATCCCTGCTCCCTCTCAGGCAGCTCTGCAGGGTGGTCCTGCTGCAGCAGAGCAATTGCAGACTATCCAAACCTGGCTTTTCATCACTTCCTTAAAAATCTGTTTTGCATAACAGCATCTTTTCAAACTTCAGATACAGCTCTGGTCTTTCTAAGAATATGCAGCAGGACCCCACAGGAGCCCGTAAGTAGGAGCATCACTGCTGCAGCATTAATGCAGATGCTCTGAGGGAAGAATTCAGATATAAACACCAGGATTTTGGAGCACTTTCCTAAGGAATCCAGCACTACATTCAGGTTCACTCCAGTGATCCTACTAAAAACTGGACAATGTCAAGCACAGCCCATGCACTGAGTCCACCCTGGCAAGAGTGAGGAGCTGCCTGTGCTCTTGAGCTCTCCCAGCTCCCAACACATGCATTGGCTCCAGTTTGGAAACTTGCAAATGGCAATGTCTCCTCGGGGTGGGACAAGTGCAGGCACACCTGGAAGCATTGCCCCGATCTGTGTGTGAACGGATGGTTTGGAACTCTGGGGACAGCGACAGGAAAACCAGACCAGCAGCAGCACCTGCAGCTGCAGGAATTGCAAGGAATAAACCCTAAAGCATCATGAAGAAGTAAATAATAGAGTTCACTAAGGCAGGCAGGGCCAGGCCCCCAGCCCCATTACTTTTTCTGGTGGGACGTGGTGCGGCGGGTGCAGAAGACAGCGACGATGACGACGATGACAATGGTGATGACGCCCACGGACACGATGATCACCAGCAGCATGTTGCTGTCCAGGGGGGACGTGGGGCTGCCATGGGGACTGTTACTGCCTGGGAGGGTTGGGGAGAGGAGAAAAAGCTCATTTATTACACAGGAAAAGCAAGCAGTGCCCAACAAAGACACCTGGAATCCTGCTGGACCTCATGAGAAATGTTGGTTTCTTTGGCATTTGCCAACTGTTCCTGTACAATTATTCATTTGGAAGTTGTTTACAGATCCATTTCCTACTAAGACTGTCAAAATTTAAGTGCAGCCTACTCAATTATCACAAAAACCTCAACACTCTCAGCAGAGTCAGTCTGGGATCCTGCTCAACCTGCAGCACCACAGGCTCGCCTTGGAGCCACCAAGCACTGGAGTTGGATCAGGAGCCTCCAGGGGTCACTTGGCTCCAAAGGAAACCTCCTTTAGCAGGGAGCATTCCCTGAGGACAGGAAATCCCAACACACAGCACTGACCAGCAGAAGGAGCAGAGGAGAGTTTTCCTTCTTCATCTGTTCCTACAGAATTGATTTCCCACTCCAGCAGCCATTTCACACCACACTGGGAGCAGCTGTGCTTATGGAAATGCCACAGGAGCTCAGCAGCAGCAGGGACACCTCTGGAACTGCTGTTGGAGTATTCCCTGGGTGACCCCAAACTGGAACCAAAGTGTGCCCATGGAGAAGCTCTGCCCCACACTCACCTCCCAGTGGGGGTTTGTAGTCTGGGCCCAAGTCCATGGGGCGACTCCCCTTCCCGGCAGATCCCGAGGCTGGAAAGGTTGGACACAGTGGAATTTTACACACACACACACAATTCAGCATCTCTGAGTCCTTCTTTAGAACCTCCCTGAGCCCCCAGGAGCTGTTTTTTCCTCCTTTTCTGTCCCTACAACACAATTTGGCTTTGCCAGAGGATCTGCTTCTCCAAGGAAAGAGCCACTTCTCCAAAGGAGCTCTTTAATAGTTTCCCAGTTATTATTTTCCTAATTAAGCTCAGGAGCCTCTCCTAATTTCACTTTGAAAATTATAATAAAGCCCATTTGCAGAAGGCACAGGTACATGTTGAGGCAAATGGTTTTGCCACACCTGTACTGAGAGTTCATCACTCTGAAACAGGAATGATCCAGGTCTTTTCCTAACACCCAATTCCAGCAGCTGAGGGAGACTGGAAATGGGTGGAGAATCCCAAGCACAGTAAATGTAATATTAAGGCCCTGCCTATTCATAAAAACTTGCTTTCAGCTCCTCCCTGTTCTCTCCTGTGCAACACAAGTGACAACAAAGCACCAAAAAATGGTTTTGATGAAACCTGAGGAAACAACAAATTAGTTACATCCAAACGTGGTCTTTCCACTCTGCATTTCCATTAAAATGCATTAATGCAAAATTAATGACAAAAACACTGGAGTAGGGGAAACATTCAGCAATGGTGCAAAGAACAATATTCCTCTGGTTACAGGAATCCAGAATATTTTACACATTTTCACACTGTTCTACAAAAAAACCCCTCCAAAAAGTCAGGCAGTATGGCAGTTTCACAGTCAAGGGAAGGATGTTTTCCATTAAAAATTCCCTTTAATCAAGAAGTATTAAGTGTTAAAGAATGTGTAACAAATGGAAACTGAACCTCAAGTGAGAGCCTGTGAACTGGTCCCTGAAATAAAGGCAAATGGCACAACCAGGCACAGGCAGGGGCAGGAACAGTGACTAAAGCTGGGGAGGGGAATAAGGAGAACGTTCTGTGTATTCAGAGAGGAGCTGGAGCCTGCAGGGATGGAAAGGAAGTACTGCAGGACAAATGGGACATGGCAAGGACCCAGGGAGCTGCCAGGATGGAAGGGACACAGCACCAGGGTTCCCTTTTTGGGGACCAATTATTGTGCAGCAACAGAGACAGACTGGAACAGCACCTTCCACAGTTTATATGTCATATATTTGTGTCTGTCTGGCCACTTAACCTCGTCCTGGAAAGGTGGGAACCCCCAGATGGACTCTCAGAATCCCTGAGCCTGGTGCTGTTCCAGGCAGAGAAGCTGTGGGAGAGGGGGGAACATGAAGAACCAGCAATATTTTGGGAGGGCAATCAGACACCCTGAGCACTTCTAGAGTAGCAGCTGGAGCCCCAACACAGGTGAGATGGTGGAAGAGGGGAAGGAGAGGAGCTGGCACACACTTTATGTCCATCTTTCTGGTTTATGGAAAACAGGTATCTTCAAAAAGCTAAATGTCAGCCCATAAATATGGCTGGTAACAGTAACTATGCAGATATATAAAATATACTGCATTTAGGCTTCCAGGAAATATCTGAAAGAGTGCTGTGCAATGCTTTGCTAAAATAGCACCATAAAAAAAAAACATGTGGAGCCTATTAGCAAGATTAACAACATATTAACTGATAAGAATGACAATTATTCATGAGGAATGCTGCCAGTGAGTTCTGCAAGGGCCTGTGCTTGGCCAAGTGCAGCTCAGTGTCCTGACTAACACCATGAAAGAGGAGGAAATAACTGCCCTGAGGTCAGCAAGGGACATCAAATCAGGGGTAAGTAAGAGAGAGGCAATGCACAATGATCCTCATGGAACCCATGACAAATTTAGGATGAAATTTAGGTACCCAACCAAGGTGTTTCTCAGGATCCAACTCCTAAACCCACAGATCAACAGTTTAAACCTTCCAATAAATTCCAGGGAGCCCCAGCTCTTACACAGTGTGACCTATTTTAAGGAACAGTTTAGAACAGCATTTGCTGGAATTGTTTTTCATTCAGCCTGTGCACATCCATTTCCAATATATCCAGACAGAACATTTTAACTGTTGGTGACTTCAGGATGGGCTTACTCGATCAGAGAGCTTAATCTTTGCTTTAGGATGAGGCCAGTGCAACCACCTGAAGTCTGTGAGCAACAGGCCCTGAGTTCTGACCAAGCTCTGTGCTTCAGAAGGGTGTGGGAAAACAGAATCGTGTGCTGAGTTCAGAAGGAAAACATTAAAGTAGACAGAGAGGAAAGGACAGAACCATTAAGGGCAGAGCATCAACCCCATTTGGTTTTGCTCCCAGCCTGAGTATCTTGCTGGCTGTTTCCTGCAGCTCCCAGACTGGCAGTTCAGCGATGCTGTCACAGGGCAGCTCCTCAGCTCCTCTCCTGCACTTCCTCTGCCTTCCCCTTTACCACATTTCAGCCACTGCCACGATTTCAGCTCTCCCGGAGTCCTTAAAGGAATTCTCAGATAAAATTCTTGGCTTTGATGATTTACAAATAATAGATGTGAGAAGAATTGATCATGACTAGGAGAACGTGTTACTTTAGGACATAACACTGGCTGAAATGGTGCTGGAACAGGGAGAAACACAAAACAGCAACTTTCACCTAAAACACTGTAACCTTCCCCAGTTCCCTCCTGCTGCAGGTGAGCAGGACAGTGACACTGGAGCAGCTGCTTCCCAGACAGCCCAAACCTCAGCCCCACCTCCAGGACACAGGGATGGGGATCAATTTACTCCCTGACTGCCTCTGCTACCACCATTACCCGGTACAGAGTAAAAGCACATTTAATAAATTACTCCAAGTACCAAGCTGAGGAGCCAAGTGAGGAGCAGCTCCCTCAGAGCCCCTTTAGGATCTCTTTAATTGCATGTCTAAGCTGTTTGCCAATGGCTTTTTTAACTCATCCCTTCAGACTAATTCTCCCTCTTTTTATGGGGCTTGTAGGTTATTTGGAAGAAAGCAAGAAGTGCCCTGGGACATCCACCTTCTAATTCAATGTAGGAAGCTCAAAGCTCCCATTTTTCAAGCAAACATTTTAAAACCTTAAGGCTTTTAGGAGCCAGTGCTGGGCTCCTCAGGAGAGTCTGGGCTCCAAAGAAGCTGACAGGCAGAATCTCTCCTGCACAGAGCTTTCCAGGACTTCCCTGCCTTTATTATGAATGAATCCTCACAAGCAGCACTCGTGCTAACCAGAATCCCTTTGATCTTCTACCCCCTCGTATGTGGGCAGGGGCTGGAAGGGGCAGTGCTGGCTCCAAAGCCATTCTCCCAGAAGGATTCAGTGCTGGCACAACCCCCACAGCCCTTCAGGGACACCTCTACTGAGATCCCTTTGCATTCCTCCCATCCATGGCCAGGACTTCCAGCTCTCCCCTGTCAGCACAGCAGGAACTCGCCCGTCCCCAGCTGGAGCAGCAGGATCCTGCTCCACTTCAAAAATGTCACAGCACATGGACAGCAAAGCAGAACAGTGAGGGATGGAGACAAGAGAAATGTGGCTGTTCATTTACCTTGGTCATTGGGCATTTTATCTGAGGACTCAGCTTAGTGGGGCAAGCACAGGGAGGAAAAAACAAGAGACACATCACAAGGCTTGAAGGAGTGAGACACAATTCCAAGTTTCCCACAGCACAGGGTACAGCTCTTGATTCTCAGCAGTAAAACTCATGTGAAAAAGTGTCCAAGGCCAGGCTGGACCGGGCTTGGAGCAACCTGGGCTGGTGGAGGTGTCCCTGCCCATGGATGGGCTGTAAGGTCCCTCCCACCCCAATTCTGTGATAGGATTCTATGACAATAAACTCATAATTTGATTTTTCCCAAGCCCTCTCCTATTTTACTCTTTACTACCTGCCCATTACCATCAGTTCCTGAATTAGGGGCCTGTTGCATCCCACAGGTTCCCACTGCATCATCCCATTCCCAGGAGCAGATGTGACACACCCGGATTTCACTGCAGCCACCCCGGGTTTGGAACAACAGAATGGCCCAAAGGCCCCCCAGGCACTGTGGAACAGCCTATGAACCCAAGAGCTGAGCTCTGAGCAGGCCCAAACCCACGGAAAATGTCAGTGTAGAGCCCCAGGAGCTCAGGCCGTGCTCCTCCCCCCACCCCCGGGGCTGCAGGGCCAGGTACCTTTGGGGGTGCGGAACTGCACGGCCTCGGACATGGGCCCCATGCCCTTGGAGTTACGGGCCTGGATCTTGAAGAAGTAGGGGGTGTCCAGGGTGAGCTCCTGGATCTGGTGGGTGAGCCTATTGCCCACCACGGGCTCGATCACCCAGTCGTGGATCTCAGCATTGACGTCCGTGCTGTAGTAGATGATGTACCCTGGGCAGGGAAAGAGACAATGCCAGCCATGAAGGGACAGGAGCCACAGCACAGACACAATTCCATCCATGAAGGGACAGGAGCCACAGCACAGACACAATTCCATCCATGAAGGGACAGGGAACCTCAG